TGATGACTGAAACCCTGACTGTGTGACAATAGCCCCCATGGGCTAGCCTGGGCGGGGTCTCTCACCTGCTTCTGTTGGAAAAGTCCTCCCAGCCACCCCAGTAACTGTCTTTAAGATTCAGGTGGGGATGGTTTATGGTGACGCCAAATGATGTGTCTGTATTTTGAGACCGGAATTCATGGATGTGACTTGGGTTCCATGACAAGTGCTTTAAGAAGACAGGCATTAAAAACAGAGGAAAGGGGTAGGGCTAGGTCAGCTGGTGAGGGCTAGTTCAGTGGTGGGGGCTAGGTCAGTGGTGGGGGCTAGTTCAGTGGTGGGGGCTAGTTCAGCTGTTGAAATGCTTCCCTTGAAGCAGGAGACCCTGCGTTTGAGCCTCAGAACATAAGTAACCAAAGCCAGGTGTGGGGTACATGTTTGTAACCCCAGAACTAGGCAGAAACAGGTAGACCTCTGGGGCTCGCTGGTCAGCTGGTCTAGCCTGCTGAGTTACAGGTCAGTGATTTCGTTTTAAAAAATAAAGTAGAGCATTTCTGAGGGGCAACAGCCAAGATTCTACCCTGGCCTCCACATATGTGCCCACATATGTGCGCACACACACACACACACACACACATACAAACCAAACAGAAGGTCATGGGAAGCTAAGGGAAGCCTGGAACCATCTGGAACTATAGGAGGTCAGGAGGTTCCTCCCCTAGAGCCTCCAAGGAGAGTACATCCTTGTCTACACCTTGATACTAGACTTCTGGCCTTGAGAGCTGTAGGAGAGTGCGTGATATTTTTAGTCACCCGGTGCATGGCACTTTGTCATATAGCCTCAGGAAATGAATGCAACATGGAACCTGGGACCAGAGATACTGAGCAAGGCCATGGGACCCTTATTGTCTGGCCCTTTGTTGTTTCTGGCTCCCAGACAAAATAAACAAACAAAAACCCTAGACTGCGTTTCCTCCCAGAGAAACTGAGGCTCCTGGACCCTTGATATGGTCTTGAAGGATGCCCTCCAGGGAAAGGCTGACTTGGGTAAGCACAGCATTCCCGCAAGGGAGTCTGGGTGGCTGGGAACTGTGTAGTTACTCTCACGCAGCTGTGGCTTACAAGTGTTCTGAACACTGTAAACACTGACTCATGAATCCCGAAAGAGTCCCGAGGAAACATTCTCCCCCTCTGAGAAACAAGAAGACCGTGAGGGACAAATCCCTTCGCAGGTCACGGGGAAGCAAACGAAGCCAAATGAGAAAAGGCTCTGTGGTGTCACAGGTCCACTGGGGAGGAAGCCCACGGAGGCAGAACACAGGTGCATGGCTGCCAGGTACTGCGGGCAAGGGGCAAGGGGAGAGGGCTTGAGTGTATGGGGCCCTTTTGGGGATGATGAAGGGCCTCATGTTGAGGTGATGATGAAGGGCCTCATGTTGAGGGGATGATGAAGGGCCTCATGTTGAGGGGATGATGAAGGGCCTCATGTTGAGGTGGAGGCTAATGCCCAACACTGGGAACATGCTAAATGCCACTGACTGTGTATTTTAAAATGGTGAATTTAATGTCATGTGATTTCAACTACTTCATTGCATATACAAGGAGAGCTCCTGAGGGGACAGTCCCCATTGAAAGGACTTGTCTGAGCAGTGGCTTGGAGACCTGATGATGTCACCAGGCTCCTGGTGCAGCTTTCCAGGAAGCCATCTCCTGGCCTCTACTCCAGTACTTCCTGTGGACCCACTTAAGTGCATCTGAAGATGGGACCTTTGAGCCTGGGTGGGGTGCCGGCGTTGCTGCCTTACCTTGAGCTCTCTGGGGCTTTGGCAGGAGCTAAGAACAAAGCAAGCAGCCTGCAGAGCCTTCGCACAGTAGCTTCTGCACCAGGGATGAAACTATACACAGAATTTTTGGATCTCAAGGACCCTACAGCAATCTTAACAGTCACCAGACTCTCCGTCTTGGCGTAGCAAGCTTGCTAGGATTGTTTTTTTTTTTTTTTTTCTTTTTTTTCTGTAGTTCCCCCACAGATGCAGAGGTCATCTGTGGACTTCAGCTGACACCCAGTTAGGGTCTGTTATTGATGGGCATATCCAAGCCCATGAAATATATAGAGAGACTAAGCATACCATCAGACCATCAGATGGCATGAGGAGAAAGAAGGGGCCCTTGCTTCCTAAAACAGACCCGGGGCAGGTCAATGCTAGGGACATTCCATCTAGCAGCTAAATTTGAGCCGATGTTGCCCTTAGCTTAGTTTTTTTTTTTTTTTTTTTTTTTTCCCCTTTCTTCTGAGAATATTCCCCTTTGCTTAGAAAATCATTATCAGACCTTCAGTCAGACAGCAGCAGATCTCCTATGGCTTCCTAAAACCAAAACAAACAGATACTCTGGGTCTAGAAGAGGATCACCGGAAAGTCCACCGGAAAGATGGACAGTCTTCCCACAAGCCTGGCTTCCCACAGCTGAGTCCTGAGAAACCCTAGCGGAGTCATGCACCACTTCCTCTGGCTTGCTGGGCCAGGACACCATTTGTTGATCCTGCTGCCTGATCCGAGCCCATGATCTCCTCTCCGGTTGCCATGGCCCCATGCAGCAAACACAGCAGACGCCTGGCCCTGCGCAGTGCATGTATTTCAGATACTCCTTGTGGCTGGAACCCGACCATGTTTGGGTGTCTGGACTGGAACATGAACGGATTGCTCTGTCTTCAGCCCCCTCCCCAGCTTCCCCAGCATAGTTTACGGTTCAGCAGAGCCTACATTCCTCATCCCGCCTAGGAGCGGGAGGGAGGCTGCCCAGGATGGAGACAGAGGCGTCTTCCCATCTATGGCCAAGCCAGAGAGCCGGCTACCTGCTCGAAGGCCGGGGATTAATTACAACCAGATGGGCCAAGTCTGCACAGATGGTTTTATTAAAACTGTTCCCTTCAGCACAAAGGCCGGCTCCCCCAGAAGTCTCCTGGCAACACAAAGGCCCTCATTTTGCCGATGCCTCCCCTACCCTATGCCTGACCCTCTCCTTCCCTGCCACCCTTTCAGAGGAGGCCCGAGTTCCAACTGCAACCCAGACATGAACTCCTGCCTAAAAATAACTATAGACCCACCCTCTTTCCTCTGCCTACATCCTGGGCTGGTGTGGAAGGCTGCTCACCCACCATCCACCTTGATTTGTGGACAACTACCTGGGAAGGAAGATTAGTCAGGGAGGTTAGATCAGGGACACTTGGTTTATACCCAGAAGCCAAGTCCCAGCGTAGGAAGCCATAGCTTTCGGAAGAGCTGCAGTGTCTACGGTGATTGCTGATACAGCTGCTGTAATGCCAGGCCCTGCTCTTGGAGCCCCAGCCCCTCGTTACACCTGTGACTGTCATTTTACAGCGGCATTTCCAAGGTTACACCATCAATGTCAGGACGCTGGTATGACTGGGGATTCCATGTGCCAGTCCCTGGGCCAAGACACTGAAGTGAATCCCTTACATAGCAACTTTGCAAGGGAAAGAGTGGACGCAGTCCCAAAGAGCGTTGGCACACCTCTTAAGCAAGGTTACCTGGGGAGGGTGGGGGAGGGTGGGGGAGGGTGGGGGAGGGTGGGGGAGGGGGTGTCTGGGCCTGGCCCCAGAAATGTCGGTAGGGTTGCTGCAATATGCATTTCCTTTTTCCTTCCCTTCCCTCCCTCCCTCCCTCCCTCCCTCCCTCTCCTTTTTATTTTATTGTATTTTGAGGCAGGGCCCCATGCAGCCTCTGGATCACTGTGTAGACAAGGGTGACCTTGAACTTTTACTCCTCTAGCCTCCGCCTCCTGAGTACTAAGATTATAATATGTCACCAAGCCAGGTTGTGTTTTGTTCTTACAAGTTTAATTGTGTGCTTTTTTCTTTTTGCAGCTACCACAGTGTGCATTAGCAGATCAGAGGGTAACACGAGGAAGGCAGCTTTCTCCACCACACGGATCCTAGGGGCGAAACACTTAGCAACAAGTGTCTTTACCTGCTGGGCCATTTTGGTGGCCCATGCCAGATTTGCTATGGTTCTGGGGAATCAGATGCAGGGTTTGGTACTCTGAGCAAGCATTCTCCAACCAAGTTACATCCCAAGCACAGAAACTTGCATTTAACAACACAGGATCTAAGGTAATTGGTCAGGAGATTCTCAGAAAGGGACGTGCTGAGTGGCTTGTGCCCCCTGAGCAGACACTTCCCAGAGTACCCCCAGAGCCGAACACACCCTTTAGACGAAAACCCCCAATAAGCTGCATGTACTCTTGGTGGTTCTCTGGAAACTCGTTCTGACACATGAGCTCACTTGGTGAGTATTTCAGGGGTTCACAGTATCAATCATCATTCCTCTAAATGAGCCAGAATTCCCTGTCCTTCCCACAGGGCCTCCATCTGCAGCAGTTGGCGAGATGGATTCGCTGGGCCACCACGTAGTTGATGTGATGTGAGGGACACAAGCCTAGTCTTCTGATGAGCGCTGAGACTGGACTCAGAGGGGGCATGCTCTGGTCCTAACCAGTCCACACTCATGTTCATGTTGCACGCACAAGCATGCAGAGGCTGGAGGTTGGTATCATGTGTTTTCCTCAGTCACACTGCACCGTATTTTTTTTAAACAGGGTCTCTCATTGAACCTGGAGCTCACAGATTTGGCACGACTGGCTGTCCTCCAGTACTGGGATTATAGATGCATATGGCAGCTCCCAGCTTTTCAGGCTAGGTGCTCTGACCCATGCTTGTGTGACAAGCATTTGACACGCTGAGCCATCATCCCAGTTCTCACGCTAAGCTTTTAAACAAGGCAACGAGGGACACAGCAGCATGAGGGATCACTTCCTGTTTAGGCTTCCTGAGTTTCTGCAAAAGTAAGGTATATCCTAGGATGGACCCCCCCCCACTGCCAAGCATCCGGCTCCTAAGCCGGGTCAACCAGTGGCAAGTGAGAAACAGTACTGCTTGCTGGCTGGTAGAGGGCCTAACCGTGCCTCTCCCCTCCCACAAGGCACAAAGGACTCAAAGACGGTTTCATATTTTAACAAACTTTCCTTTATTAGGTTACTGTTATGAATCATCATAAAATAGAACAGAACGGGGCTTTCAAAACTATACATGCCATAAGGCTTTATGCTGCCGGGACAGCAGGGAGGGGCGGCGAGTCCCGCGGGTGATGGAATATGGGGTTCAGGAGAGCTGTAAATTCACCAGCATCCATGGGGGTACAGCTGGATCAAGATGAAGAGCAGGGAGCTGTACAGTTGAATATGATCTACTCCAAAATGGGAACAAGTAAAATTTTACAATCTGACAAGGCCCCAAAAGGAAAAACAAAACAAAAAAAACAAGCAAAAACCCCCCAAAACTTCAAAATATGAAGAGAATAATTTACATTCTTTATCTAGTCTTGGCACCAATTTTGTGCTTTAGAATTTATATTTCACCAGAAGACTAAAGAAAAAAAAAAAAAAAAGGTACCCTACAGCAGCTGCTTAAAACAATGCTTACAAATATATATATGTAAATATATTAAACATTTTCAACATAAAGTCATCTATTGTACCTGTGCAGAAATGAGCAGATCTCAGACTCGATGGGAGTTGGTTTCTTTCCTTTCTTCTCTCTCTTATTCTCTCTCTCTCTCTCTCTCCTTCCTTCCTCTCTCTTTAAGGACAGGGTTTCACATAGCAATGGGTGGCCACAGACTCAGGATGTAGCTGCATTCCTGGTCCTCCTGCCTCCACCTCCTGAGTTCTGGGATCACGGGTGTTTCACCATGCCTGATTTTCCTTGGTACAGGGGATGGAACCTGAGCTTCCTGCGTGCTAGGCAAGCACTCTACCAACTGGGCTACTCTCCCAAGTTAGGGAGTTGATTTCAAAGTAAAAGAAAAGGACGAGAGAGGAGGATCAGGTGCGGGAATGCTCCTGGGTGCTGCCTGGGACAGGCATTCATCGCCTGCTACGGCCTACACTCCACTCCTGAGGCCTGAGGGCGTATGGGGGTCATGATGGATGCTGCTCCACGCGGCTCCTGAGCCTGAGAGGCACTGGCTTCCATGATGCCCCGCCCTGCTCGCGGTTTCCCTCATCTTGCTTTGCCTATAGCGTTCCCAGGGGCTGGAAACCTCACTACCCCTCCCCCCTAGAGGCCCAGAGCTCTGAGGATGCCAACAGAAAACACCAGAAAAATCGGTTGTGAAATTCCAAGCTCATGGAAGACAAGAGACTGAAACTTGTGTAATGATGTATGCATGCCCGAGGTGAGCAGCACCTGGGGATATGGACTCGCACAGTCCTAATTCTCCTTGGGGCCTGCTCTGGTGTTGATGCAGAACCCTGTGGAAACTGAGTCAAGGGATCTACACAATGTCACGCTTGTGTGGGTGCACGACAGTTCATATGCCGCAGGCATGTCTCAGGAAAGGGGACAGGTGTGGCACACACATTCCAGGGAGGTGGCAGGTGGTAGGGGGCAACAGAACACAGCAAGGGGGCTTTCCTTTCTAAACGGAATAAATAAGTGGCCGCTGTTACTGTTTACAGAATAAATACAGGGCACGGAGCACCGACAGAGGGCACTGAAGCCAGGCACTCACTGGCCCGAGAGAGGTCCAACCTGGGGCTCTGTCTCAGTGTCCATGGCTTGTGACATCCTGAGCTTCATCTGTGTGGCCTTGTCCTGGCCATTCCTGCTTTCGCAATCTGCCCTGGAGCCCTGGCATCTCCCACTAATCTCACTTCCCAGGACCCCCCAGGTGGCTGCAGACTCTCCACAGGGTGGGGAGCAGCTCACTCCATGTGAGAGCAGACAAGGGCCCAACAGAGGCTTTCTTAGAAGTTTATTCTCTGCATCTGGTTCTGGGAAGGGCCTGGATACTGCTGCTTCAGCCAGTGTTGGGAAGGGAGGAGAGAAGTCCATTGGCATTGGTCCACCTAGCAGAGGCAGCTGGCAGGATGAAGATACGTCTGCCCGTGGCTGAGGGTAGGTATCCATCCCAGGCGCAGGGGTTGGTGGACCCTGACGGCTCGGCGAGTTGGCACCAGGTGGCTGTCATGTGGCGGTCCTGGGATGTGGGTCACTGGTAGAGGAGGTAGGCCTTGAGGGAGGCAGGTAACGGCAGAGCGGGGATCGCGCCCAGGCGCTCCTTTCCTAGAGCTAGGCGCACCGAACGCCGGCACAGGTCCATGAGCGGCAGGGGCTCAGCTGGGAAAACCAGAAAAGAGAAGGAAAACCTTAGCAGAGCTCAGGAAGGTTCTAGAATAGACAGATAGTGCTTACAACATAGCCAGGGTTAGCCCTGAATCGAGTGGATTTTAACAAGCAGATCACTAACCAATGTGTTTTAAATTCTGAACTGTGGTGATGACTGAAGAGAAGTTGGACTGGGCCAAACAGGTTCAGAAGTCTTTTACTGACACGGATTCATTCCCTCTCCTAACAGTGATCCGCTGTGGCGGAGTAACCACAGAGAGGCCATGGCTGCTCTCATTCCCTCTACACAAAGGGGAGCTAAGTGGTGGCACACAGAAAACTTGCCTAGGCTTGCTCTGCGGAAGAGATGGGGCTGGGACCTGAAGGAGCTGCTTCTGGTCTCCTTGTGGGGCCTGGAGGTCCTTGGGTGCCCCCCAGCTTCTACTTTCAAGAGCCTCTCAGGTACTGTCCTCGTCTTCACTTTATGGCAGAGGACAAGGAGGGACAGAAAAGGTGCCGGACAGGCTAGGTAGAGGCTCAGATCCAATTGCGGGCACCCTGTGCCTGGCATCCTTGTTCTGAGGTACCATACTGTATTGCCCCAGACATACGAAGGACTGGTCTGGGGCTAGCTCAGTGGTAGAGCGTGTACTTTGCATACGCAAGGCCCTGGGTCCAGACCCCATCACCAAATAAATAAATAAACATCAAACACTGAAGACTGGGTCCTACGTCTGAGAGAACATGGGTGCGGCTAACCGGTGCTGTCTCTTGGGACTGGGAGAACGTCTAACCCTGACCGTAGCGAAGCACTGGGTGCTTCAGGTGGATGCATGAGCGCTACCGCACACCAGATGTACCGGAAAAGAAGAAACCGAGGGGAGACAGCTCAGCCTAGAAGGTGCTCACCATCAAAGAGTAAGGAGCTGAGTTCAGTTCCCAGAGCACATGAGAAAAGCCAGTCATGGTGGCACACACCCCTAATCCCAGTGCGGGGGAGGCAGGCACGGGAGGATCCTGGGCTCACTGGCTAGCCAGTTTAGCCAAACTGGTGAGTGCCGTGTCCCAGAGAGCAAGGTGGAAGGACTCAAGGGTTGACACCCGAAGCTTTCCTCTGGCCTCCACATGTATGAGCATATGTGCACCCACCCACATCCATGTGCATATGCACCCTCTCAATACATGTATGTATGTACCCACCCACATCCATGTGCACATGCACCCACCCACATCCATGTGCACATGCACCCACTCAATACATGTATGTACCCCACTCACATCCATGTGCATATGCACCCACCCACATCCATGTGCATATGCACCCACTCAATACATGTATTATGTACCCACCCACATCCATGTGCACATGCACCCACCCATACTCACACCCCACCAACAGAATATACCTGAGCTGATGGGATGGGTTAGTGTGTAAAAGTACTTACTGCACCATCTGATGACCTGAGTATGATCTGGTGGCATGGGTGTGCCAGCACTCACACATCATACACACACATGCACTCACAAACGCACGGAAAACTTGCAGCTACAGCTTCTCAGGAGAAAACCCCTCTCGTAGTAATGGTTTTAATAGGAAGCTCTGAAATAGATCTTTGCCTAGACAACGCGGCGTAATCACCAGGACCTGGAGGCAGGAGGGTAAACTAAAGGCGTTCCATCCATCCACCGCCAACTAGACCTGGAAACCAGAGGCTTAACTGCAGCCTTGGCCAGTATCGAGCAGCTGCAAGGTAGCTCTCCTGCATGGCAGAGTGGGGACATCTGCCTTCCCTCCTCTCTGCTTGGGAAGGCCATCATTTGGCGTTGGGGGCAAAGGGCCTGGGGCTACCTAGCACAGTCTTCTGGGATGACGGGCTCAACCCCACTTGGGAGGTGAGGGGCTTCCCCACAGGTTGGGGGCTGTTGAGGAAGCACTGACTCAGAGCTGTGCTCCACCTGTTTCTCAAAGCCCGGACAGCGATGAGAACACGTGAGCCAAGCAAACAGGCGCAGCCAATTTCAGGTGCAAGTCTCTCCCGGGTCAGCGCCTTTGGCCAAGAGCTACAGGCTTGCTCCCTGCTCCACCCACAGCCCACATGTCCACTGCTGTGCCACTGAGCCGGTGGGTACACGTCCTGCTGGCCACTCATGCTCATCACGAAGGCTAAGGTGGACACTGATACCAACTGTTTATGTGAATGATAGAGCAGCAAAGACGCCAGGAAGCAAGACAGACACGATTTCTAGGAGCAGGAGGCAGAGGACCTGGAAGAGACCACACGCCCGCTTCTGCATTTCTAAGAGGAACAGCCTCCTAGTGGGCTACTCGGATCTGCACAGCCCCACCCCTCCCAACCTCAGATCCTTGTGGTATTCTGGGGGGGGGGGGAAACAATCTGGCCCAAATGAGACTTCAAAAGCACAAGGCTAGCTGGAGAGGTGGCTTAAGCAGTCAAACCACTTTCGTAAAAGTGAGGACCAGATTTTGGATCCCCAGGACCCAGTAAATGCCAAGTGGACATGGCAATCTGGCCGTAATTCTAGCTTTGGAAGATAGAAGCTGGCTGGTGAGACTAGCCACATTGGTGAGCTCTGAGTTTGACTGAGAAGCCTGCCTCAGTGAGTGAGGTGGAAGTTCCTGAGGGTGCTTCCTGACATCGTGCCCCGTGCACACGCACCCCCCCCAGAAACATACACAAATGTGGAAAAGGTGTGTGTGCCCAGTCTGTGAGTTAAAGGGGCAAGGGAAACCACACTGAGCGAGGGTTCAATGACGGTCATGGGCTCACCCCCATGGTACCTGCGGCTGGAAGGTTCTAGGATGTTCTGAGTGGAAGTAGCCATGAAGCCATGTTGCCCTTGCCCTCCAGGGAAGGACAACTGACATCTTTCCAAGTGACACAGGTGCTCTTGGTCCTCCAAACCCTGAGTGCCTGCTGTCCTCATAAAGCCAGCTTTTCTGAGAGAGGCACCAGAACACTTCTCTTTAATGGTGATAATCCCCGAAGGAGGTCCTGGCAGGGGCAGAGTAAGGAGTCTCCCCAGAGTACTGCTTCGATTGGGAGCAATGAGAAGCCAGCCTTGTGATGGGGCAGCCAGGGCATCAGGAGAGGGCAGATACTCACAGTGAGAACTGGTCAGAAGCAGAGAGAGGCGGGCAGGGAGGGACAGCTCCAAACTGAGCAGGCTGCCAGGCCTGCTGGCAGCAGGGAACGGACCCCCAATCCCCGAGCCTCTGAGAGGCCAGACCCTGCAGCTCCATCTCAGACATCTGGCCTCTTGAACTGGGACAGAATATCTCTCTGTTGTTTCAAATGCCTGGTTCAGGGTAATTTGTTAGCAGCCCCAGGAAAAGAATATAGCATCCTTCCTAACCCTGCTCCACCCACATGACTCCTGGCGAGGTCCCCAACAACGTTCTTGTTGCCAAGGCAGCTGTCGGAATTCTTGACCTGTCATTACTCTGTCTTTCTTGAAACTCTTCCCTCTCTTGGCACACAATAATACCATCTCTTGGGACTCTCTGGACGCAAGGCCTGCTTCTCCTGGACACCCCCTCTAATGGAGTCCAGTGTCAGCCCTCGAGCCTGACTCTCCCCATCCCTCTGGCTGCTCTCATCCAGGGTCATGGTGTATTTGTTCTTGTTATTTTAGGTGTTCTGGGGATGGACCTGTGCATGCTAGGCAAGCTTGCTACCCTTAAGCAACACCCCCAGCCCAAGAATCACCACCTTCAACATCGCCTATACATGGACGGACTCCCCTGCTAGACCGTGTGTCTCACACCCCTGGCTTGTAGGCCCGGCTGGCTGGATTAACGTCCATCTCTTACATGTTCTTCCCTCCAGCTTTTCCATCTTCCTGGCTGCAGCCATATCCTTCAACCTGCTCAGGCCATCACCCGGAGTCATATCCTTGATGAGCTCTCACTTCTTACCCACAATCTACGGAGGTGTGCATTCTAGAATATGGCTGTCTCTACCATCTCTACAACCCTTGCCTTGCCTCAGGTCCAGTCATCTCTTACCCAGACAGCTGTCATGGCAGCGTCTCTTGCCTCCCATCAGCCAAGGAATCCTTGTAAGGCATGAGTCGCCCCTCAGCAGTGCTCTGAGGTGTTGTGTAAGCAGGTGATAGCTCTGACACATGCCATCTCTCCGTACTCCCCCTGGCAGCAGGGTGAATGAGAACATGCCACTCCTGCTCAGCATCCCAGGAAACAGATACAGCTATGTTCCTACCTGCATCTTCCAAAGTCAACCATGTACATACAACCAGGACTATGGGAAGTGAGAAGCCATGGGTCTTAGCACGGCCTGGCACTCAGTTAAGCTGCAGAGAGCCCGGAGTGTATACCACTGACCAGGAAGTAACTTGATGTGACATTCTGAGTCTATCTGGATCTTGCTGCCATGATAGATGCCTGGGTGAGATTTGTTTCCACACAACTTATTCCCATTGTCACACTCCTGCCCAACCTCTTTTGAATTTTCCATTTATCTTCCGCTGCTTCCCAACTGTGGGTGTCATATGATTAGCTGTCTCATCCCGTCCCCAAGTGAGGGACTGTATCCCTCGAACTGCAAGCCAAAGCAAACCCTGCCTTCAGTTTCACTGGTCAGGTATTTTGTCCCAGAAAGAAAAGTAGTTAGCCTGGCGGTAGCCCTCCACACAATGCAGAGCTACACAGAGCCCTACCTGTGCACTGCACATGCGCCTAGGCCTCTGCGATACCACTGACGAAAATGCCCCGTGAGCTGTACATGGCTTGCCAAGGGCAACCACACCCAGGCCCCTCCTGTCGGCTATGAATCTGTATGCTGTATAGGAGCCGGGACCCACGGAAACCACACAAATTCTCAGGACTCATGAAAATATTGGCAGGCAGATCTGGTGTCTGGGAGACAATAGCCCTGGCAAATCCTACCATCTGTCGGTTCAATGAAGGAGCAAAAACCTCCCCGGGGCACTACTGAGCACTCCTCTCCAGGAAAGAGAAGAGGGAGGCAGACCCAGAGGCAGCTCCCGGAGAACCTAAACTCGGACACCTGTGCCCAGGAGTCCCAGTCTACACCCATCCCTGAACATTTGGTCGTGGACTTAGGCCACTTATTTCTGTAATTGAAGGAGACAGACTCATAGAACTTGCTCTGCTAGCTCCCTGGTCCAGGCCTGAGGTGACTTCCTCAGGGAGGCTCCCTTCTAGGTGCACACTTAGCCACTCAGCCAGGAATGCCATGACCTTTGTGTTGGGCCGCACTGGGACAGAGCAGCCCAATGATGACTGCCATCATCCAGGCAAAGCCAGGGTGGACCAGAAAGGAAAAGAGGCGGCTTCTGAGAAGTGAGCTCACGGGAATAGCTACTCTCAGCTTTCCCACATCTTCCGAAGACTGAGCTGAGAGAGGCGCGAGGCAGACCTGAGGATCTGTCAGAAACAATGAGACAGTGAGGTCTACCCCTGGACATCAGTGACAGCCACACCTATCACTAACCACAGGTAGGGGCAGGCCAAACCTACCCTTAAAAACAGCCAGGGTAATTGGCGTTTCCTGGCTCTTCCCCTGCTGCAGATGGAACGTGCAGACCACAGGAGACAGCCCTGTAGGAAATGATCTCCCAGAGAGGGCCTGGCTTGGGATGGATGGTTCCAGAGTACTAGGACTCCATTAACAGCTCCCTTTCCCACCCGCACTGGGCAGTCCCGGGCTTGCACCTGCCACGGGCACGTGCTGAGACTGCGTGTAAGCCATTTCAGCACGGGGAAAAGCTACACCCCTTTCCAAAAGGACAGGCAGAAGTCACTGCTGACTCAGCACAATCCACTCCAGGACTGAGCGAGTCTTTCTCAAGACTGGCGCAAAGGAGTGTCAAGCTCTGAGAGACAGACTCAGAATCTGCATCATGATTGAAAAAGGTTCCTGGCTTTCACTTATCTAAGAAGCCAGAGCATCCCCAAGGCTACAAAGCTCAATTTTGGTGGCACTGGCTACTGTGCTAGAATATGGTCAACTACAGTCCAAGGCTGGAAACATGTTAATCAGAGAAAAGTAAAACCATTCATTTCTTTATTTGCTCATTACTCCATCACCCATTCATTCATTCATTCATTCATTCATTCATTCATCCATTCAGTCATCTGACCTCTTCCTCCATCCATCCATCCATCATCATCCATCCACCATCATTTATCCATCTATCCATCATCATCCGTCATCATCCATCCATCTATCCATCATCCATCTCTCCATCCATCATGCATCCTTCATCCATCCATCATGCCTCCATCATCACCCATCCATCTATCCATCATCTATCTCTCCATCCATCCATCCATCTTCCATCCATCCATCCATCCATCCATCCATCCATCATGCATGCATGCATGCATCCATCCATCCATCCATCCATCCTCTATTTATTCATGAAGCTCTGGACAGAATTTCTCATTTAGCCAGGTATAGGTCAAAAATGGTATGGTGGTTTGAATGCAATTGGTCCCCATAATCTTACAGGAAGTGGCACTATTAGGAGGTGTGGTTTGCTCCAGTAAATTTGCCTTGTTGTGGGGATGGGCTTTGAGGTTTCCTATGCTCAGGATACCACCCAGTGTCTCAGCCGACTTCCTGCTGCCTGTAAAATATAGGACTATTCACTCCAACACCACATCTGCCTGCACGCCGCCATGCTTCCCGCCACGATGATAATGGACTGACCTCTAAAACTGTAAGAGAGCCACCCCAATTAAAATTTTTCCTTTCTCCTCCCAGCAATAAAAACCCTAACTACATGGCCTGTGTGGACCTGTAAGCACTGTGCTATCTACTTAAAGGACATTTTAAGTCCTCTAATTCCACAAACTAGCCAGGACCATGGGGATGTGGGGGCTGATGCTGCTTCAGACACAGCAGGGAACACTTACGATCAAGACCGTTCAAGTAGCGCATGCGGATCTCACAGTGGCCCCAGACGGCGCTCACAACAGGATACAGTTTTTTACCCTTGAGTCCCCGAAAAGCCACTCCCATGTACTGTCCATCCACAATGAAACTCAGGGTCCCATCATCCATGTCCAGGGCCACAAGAAAGGAGTCAGGGACAATGAATGTCTCGTCTGGTTCCAGAAAGGCTGGGTACGTTTTACTTGGCTGGTTCTTGCCATCATGGTAGAGACGGTTACGCCCCAAGTCCCAGCCCCAGGACTCATGGTTATTTCCTACAAGGGTTGTGTAGCCAACAGAGTGCAGAGGGGCATCTGCCGTGGCCACGCCTACCACAGCATGTGTGCCTCGTTGCCTCATGGCCCATGTGATCTGCCACACGTGCAGTCCACGTGTGTACCCGATTTTGCCCCTGATAGCATCTGTGCTCTGGGCCACCGGATGCCGGTGAAAGATCAACTTGTCATCTTCCTTCACGAAGACATTGAGCGAGCGGTCATTATTGTTCCAGGAGTGGAGCAGCTGGACATCATAGGACACGGGGGGCATGTCGAGCAGCAGGTCCAGCCGGGTGGGCTTGCAATAATCCAGACCCTGGAGCTCCTGCTTCAGAGGTCGGTATGTGGGGTCCCGCATGTCCACAGTCTTGATCCCTCCCGTGACCTTCTGACCCATGATGACCTTTGGTTTCACCTTTTCTCTGACTCCCAAGGCAAACTCATCAATCTTGGGGCCTTCACTCCAGATTTCTAATCAGGACCAGACAGAATTCCTAAGGAAGGTTGCTAGGTGATCTCCGGAGGTTGTGAAGCATTCGGTATTGCCTAATGGATGGAAAGAGAAACAGGAGAGTGGATGAGTAGGGTGCGGATGAGCAGATGAGCAGGGGAGAGACTAGAGAGGAACACAGCGCTACATGCACAGAGATGTCTCAGCAGCTTGGAAGTCTGAGGCAGAATGAAATGCCCCTGTCCCTGTGGCTACTGTCACAACGGAAAAGGGGCCATCCGCCCCATGGTCTGTGTGGAGAGACAGAGGTGGGTTTGGGGACCGAGAATCGCACTCAATGGGCTGGGACACAGGAGATGCCATTTGGGCTTCTAGGTGGCCAAGGTGGCAGTGTGGATCATTGAGTAAGCCTCAGCTCGGTGACACCTTGGTCAGAATGAAGGGACACATGCTTCTTTGCTTCCACAGCACAGGCAGATCAAGACACAGAGCCCAGACTCCCTAGTGGCCCTAGGGAGGAAACCCAGCTGTAGACAGCAGTTCAACTCAGGCTCTGCACGCATGCTCTGTGGCCTAGAGCTTCATGCCCTACCAGGACCGGAGCCACCAACACAGCTTTCCTCCAAGCCCATGGCTGGGCCCAGGGGTTCAGATGGACCAGAAGGGGCAAGGCTCATCCGCTGACCCACACGTGGTTCTGGGCTAACTTGCAGATGGTTAGCTGCTCTGTTAGAAGATTCCCTTCAACTAGAAGACAATGTTTCACCTGGAGTCTCCCTGCTACTGCATGGTAATAGGGAGGCCTAACTCCACACTGTCTCTTTCTTTCCTCTCTGGCTTCACCATCTCCAGGATCCACTAAGGAGGATGGGGAAGTGGAAACAGAGAGGAGACCTCACTACGTCTGTCTCTGGATCTCCAGTGGTGACTGGGAGGATGGGGAGGCTAAGAGTAGGGCTGACAACACATCCCCATTTGTCACTGCTCTTCTGGGTCTCATGAGCCGGTGCTCTCTGCCACCCAAAGCTGGAGGGCTGGAGAGATGCCTCACAAGGATGAGGACCAGAGTGAAGAGCCTCAGCACCCACATAAAAGCTGGGTGGGTGTGGCTGCCACCTGTAAGCCCAGTGCACATAGGGGCGGAGACAGGCTCTCTCCAGAGCAAACTAGCTAAAGTAGTGACAATTCAGTGAAAGACCCGTCCTCAACATAAGGTGGAATGGCGAAGAGGACACCCAATGCCATCCTTCACCCTCCACGCACACACATACACACACACACAGGCACACATATGCACACAGACACACACATGCCTGCCCGCGACACAAACATTTAAAAACCCTCCCTGGACCCCAGAAACTTTCAGCTCCCCAGTTTGGAGACAAGCTCCTATGATCAACAGGGTAATGAGAAAGGTGGCCCCCTGGCTACACAACCAACAGAATAAGCATTGGCTGCTGGGAAAAGGGGCCACGCTGAGTCACTTGTCCCAAGGAGCTCTGGGACACCCCAACAAAGCAGATGAAGGGAATGTGAAGGAATGTGGTGAGAGAAGGCTGAAGCGTGTCAGGCTCAGGGACACCTGGGGACTAGACAGCACTGGTCTCCCGTCAGTGAGCACAGGTCCAGGAGGTGGGGCAGGTCTGCAACGGGACCAATGGAAGCTACTGTCCTCTTGGCTGGAAAAGGGCCACATGAGAAAGAATGACATCTTCAGGGGAGAAAGGTCTCCTGGAGGTTCAGTCCCAGGGGAAGGACGTAGGTGACAGCATGTGCCCAGTGCCCTTATCCTGTGGTCGGGTCACACCTTTCTTCTTGGTTCCAGAGAAAGAGCATTGTGCGCCGCCCGCCCCCCTTGCCCCCAATCCTGAGGATACAAGCATCTCCACAGAGACAAGGTAGGACTGTCATGCCCAAACCTGCATAGAACCGAACTGTCCCTTTGCAGCTGAGGACTGTACTGGTTCCACAAAGCCCTGTAGATACAATGACCCTACATCCAGATGTCTAGGTACAATAATCCTAGTTTCTCTCAACTTTCTTTGTGATATGGGGATTAAACCTAAAGCTTTGAGCTGGGCATGGTGGTGCACGCCCTCGATCCCAGCACTTGGGAAGCAGAGACAGGTGAGTTCAAGGCCAGCTTGGTCTACAAAGCAAGGCTCGGCATCACCGAAAAGCCAAGACCACATGGAGATAGATATATGGAGTAATAGAAATGAGAGCTAGCCAATACGAAGCCCGAGTCATTGGCCAAACAGTTTATAATTAATATCAGCCTCTGTGTGTTTATTTGAGACTAAATGGCTGGGGGACTGGGTGGGACAGAAATGTCATCAGCAGTTACCAATGGCCTGTATTCAGTCCAGTGCGTCCACTAACACCCAGCTGTGCTGAGCTGTGGAAGGTGAGAGGCCAGCATGGAACGGCGGTGGAAGCCCACTGGAGGGAAGGTGTGGGAGGCAGGAGCTGGAGAGAGGGTTAGCACAGGTTAAGGGCGGAATAGAGGACATGGTCCAAGCCCTCTGCTGTGTGTGCCGCCATTGCATCATCTGAGCCACCTTCTGAGTGGGCAGTTGCCACGGAAATCCTAAAGTCACTCTTGACTCATCTTTCCTGTGTGTCCAGGTTGCTGGCTGAAGCCCCGTTGTCCACAGCTAGCCACCCCTAGCTTACATAAGGGCGCCAAGGCCATCCAGCTTCTCCCCTTCTGTCCACTTAAAATCTGCCCCTGCAGGGAGCTAAAAAGACGGCTACAAGTACTCACTGCCCTTGCACAGGACCCAAGTACTATTCCCAGCGCCAGTAGTTCCCAAGCCAGGTAGTTCACAACTGCTGTAGCACCAGCTCCAGGAGACCTGGCACCTCCGGCCTCCACTCCAAGGGGACTGGCACTCACTCGCACACACCCTGCCCTGCCCTACCCTACCCGTGCTCGCTCTCTCTCTCTCTCTCTCTCTCTCTCTCTCTCTCTCTCTCTCTCTCTCTCTCACACACACACACACACACACACACACTTTTAAAAAGTCAATCATTAAAAAAAACACCCCCATGCAGATTCTTCCCTCTTACCTTTTCCTGGAATGTGGCCTGAAGGGCGCGTCCCCAGGCCTGTCTCCAAGGCTCCCAAACTCACTCGGGATGAATGTGCCTTGTGTATGCCAACTAAGGTTCACCCTTGATTTTCCCAAGTTCCCGGTTGTTCATCTATGACATGAGTGTCACCTGTGTGTCACATGCTTTTCTGAAACGCAATGGAGACAGCGTCCTAGAGAGGGCCTGGCACAACTGGCATACTCCTTTTGATGTTCTAGAATGTTCTCATTCCCTGAACAAAGATCACTATGAGTGGCTCTTCCTGGTTACCGCACCTGGCCCGACAGATGAACGCTGCCCCTGGATATGACCCAAGCACTGGAATGCCATCCTACAGAAGACCAAGATGAAGGACTCTACTAAGCTGGAGGGAGGTCAGTGAACTCGTTTTGTGAATGACCAGATAGTAAATATTTTAGGCTTTCAGACAGTGTGTAAATAAATGGGTGTGTCTATGTCCCAATAAAACTTTAAGAAAACAGAGAGCTGGATTTAGCTCATGGCCACAGTCTGCCAACTGACCCCTCTTATAAAGCTGTGGAGACTGCTGACCTGCTCCCCAAAATACCTGCTTAGGATGGGGTGTGTGTGCGCCATCCATGGGTGCTGAGGGGCAGGAACATGGGTGGGTCTGCATGGCCGTGGCTAACATGGGTGGGTCTGCATGGCCGTGGCTAACATGGGTGGGTCTGCATGGCCGTGGCTAACATGGGTGGGTCTGCATGGCCGTGGCTAACAATGGACACAGGCTTCTCTGAGCCAGTAGGAGTCCAGCAGTGGGCACTCCTGGTAGGAAGCAGGGGAGCCAGTACCGGTGGGCTCTAGGTCACCCCCCCCCATTTCCTGCTGTTCTAGAAACAAAGCAGAGGCTCATGCTTTATGGGGTCCAAAGGTACCACATGAATGCCAGGGCCTGAGGCTACCAAGGGAACAGATGGCAAACCTCTACGGGGTGGGAGGGACCCGTCCTCATCTCTACTCAGGAGAAGGCAAACCATGACGGGTGGGAAGGGGGTGGGTATGTTTCCTTGTAGGCAGAAACTAGACGGCAGAGAGCTGGCAGGGAGGGACTGCCATCGCCACGTACCACCAGTCACAGCACGGGGCGCACGGCTGCCTACAGAGACAGCACACATGCCGGTACACACATGGACACCACTAACTGTAGTGATGTCAGTGGTCAGTGAGTCTGAGGAGCAGGACGGAAGCCCTGAAGTTGGCAGCTCAGAAAGTAAACTCTGGCATTCCCCACCATGTCCGTCCCTCCATACAGTACCTGCTGGCCCTCCTCATGGCTAACCAACCCCCACAGTCCTAGTTAGCACCCTTCTTACCGAACCAAATTCTGGCCACCCCAAATAATGAACAAATCCCACTGTGCTTAGTCCCAGGCCTGCACGTGCCAGTTGTCAAAAAAAATCACAGCACTGGTGATTCCCAAAGACCAGGGACACTCCTCAGAGAGAGCTAAGGAGGGGACGTACAATGTCATTACCTGCATCACAGCTCCCATGATGCAGGGCAACTATCCCAGCCAAGAGACTGTGTACACAGGTGTATATATTCGCACATTTGTGAGTGTGTGTACGTGAGTGTGTGTGCGCATGCACGCACGTGTGTGTGTGTGTGTGTGTGTGTGTGTGTGAGAGAGAGAGAGAGAGAGAGAGAGAGAGAGAGAGAGCTCTAACTACAGTTCTGTTTCTCTTATTGGGCAACAGGGAACATGTCCAGTCATTCTCCCGGCCATGTTTTCCTCCAGGTAAAATCAGATTAAAGATCAACCGAGGACAGCAGAGAAAACCATCGTCAAAGGCTGAGCAGGTTGCTTATGAGGGAGAAAGGATTTTCTTTGCAAACAGACTGAGAGCTCCGTGAGTCAGACGAGAGCTACCTTTCCTCTGGGGTCTTGTTCCAGACCCCAGACTGTCAAGACCGTCAAGACCAGTGACAGGGGCTGTAACACGAACACTACCGGGGTAATTACTCAGGAAATGCCATG